GCGATGATGATGGTGATGACGAAGTATCGTCATCATCATCATCATCGCCGCCGTCATATAACTCGTCATCATCATCATCGTTGACACCATCATCTCCCACGTCCCGACCACCGCCGACATCGCGACCGGCGGTTTCTTTCGCCACGGTCTCGCCCGAAGGATCCCACTACTTACATGACATGTTCCCCAAAAACAAAAAAAAATGCAATCCACAAAGAATCACCGCCAAGAACACCACTGCATACATGTCATCATCATCATGTTAATGGCCGCCGTCATATAACTCGTCATCATCATCATCGTCGCCGTCATATAACTCGTCATCATCATCATCATCGCCAACAACACCGCTGCAGACATGTCACAACACCGCTGCAGACGAAATCATCATATCTGCCCCTTCGCTGGGACTACATCGAAACAGGCATTGATTGTGCCTCGAACCTTCTCTCCTAAACACTACGGCGAAACAGCGACTGTTAAACCGGAACCGCAACACACGGAACGACCCCAACAACAGCGGAAAAAAAAACAGCGAGCGAATGTCGCCACCGCACTCACATCGACACACATCACCGGCGGTTAACGTCCGTGGCGATCACCATTTACGGACACGAAGGTCATCCTCAGGCACCCATGTATCCACCAGGCCGTGCAAGTACCCCCTGCCCCCCAGAGGGGGTCGAAGATGGTGTCGTACCAAGGCGTGTTGTCCATGCGGTTCTCAAACTCTTCGGCGATGGCGGACACAAGGTACTTGATGGTGTCCCCCACCGCGTCCCGGTGGAGACCTTCCCATCTGTTTGCCACCACCTCATGCCTCTTCGTCACGAACAGGAGTACGTGGCTCAAAGCGCCATCGCTGTCAAACCCCAATCCAGCCGTGATGTCCATCGCATGGACATCGTTGACGCGCACTTCATACACACGGGTGTCGTGACATGTGACATCATTGTAGAAAACCATGTCACGCCCGTGACGCCCGTTGCGTTTGTCTTGGAGCTCCGTGATGATCACGTCGCGGCCGCAGACCCACTTCCACACCACAACAACGGGAGTCATTCTCTCTCTCTCTCTCTCTCTCTCTCTCTCTCTCTCTCTCTCTCTCGCGCGCGCGCGCGCGCGCGCGCGGGGCACACACTGAACTGTGCAGACACCGAACGGTTTCGTCGAGATCATGAAGATGATCGCAAAATTGCGCACACACCGAACGGTTTCGCCGAGATCATGCGATCGCGTTCCAGCACAGGTGCTCCCCGGTTGCCCGTGCGATGTTATATACATCACCCCGCCCTGGCTTCATGATCTCCCCACCAGTGTTTGTGAGTGTGTGGCAGTGGACAACCCCTCCCGAAAACCAGGTGCACACATCGATTCCACCCGATGACCGGTGCACATACCGATTCATATATATATATATATATATCATCGGGATGACGGGTCTGTGTCCCCGCCGCTGAAGCTGCACCCCCCCCCCCCCCCCCTCCCCCCCGCCGGGCAAGTACCCCCACCAATAGTTCCAACACAGAATGTCCCCCTCTCATTGCATCGGCCACATCACCTATTCTCGCTGCAATTGCCGTGCCTGCCTCTGTTCTCGCTGTCACCAGGGTGGACGTCGCATTGTCAAGTCCCTGACAATACGATCTCGTTGAGTCTTCCATTACTTTGCCCAAGGACGATCCGCCTGATCCGCCTTCATGCACCCTCGCCTTGCCGATCCCTGTTCGACGTGCCTTGTTTGAGTTGTCCGACTCTTCTGTCCCCATTGCGTCGGATTCGACCGTCGGTGATGGCTCCTGTCGTTTCCCCGGGAGTGACTCCGATGCCATAGTCTTGTCGCACTGGATGGATGGTCGATCAAGTTTCCACGTCATCGCGTCCCACAACGCCTTCTCGAAAGACAACGGCATTTTCCTCTCTCTCCGCTCCTCAATTGTTATGTCAAAATACGATGGCTCCCCCGACTTCTTCTGTTGCTTGTCGAGAATGAGCTTCGCTGTTATCATCATGTTCGTCCACTTCTTCCGGCAATCCTCCGCTGTCCTGTGCATGTACCCGGCATCCTTCATCCGTGCGACGACCCATGCGTACCGATCCTTCATCGCCATCATGCGGTGTTGGCCGCTGGCGTCCGCCATGAGGGCGTCGTCCTCTTGCATCATCCTCGCGAGATGGATCCTCTCGTCCAACGTCCACAGCACCTCGGGTTTGGCGGTCGGAGGCCACCCACCACGACGCTTCTGCTGATTACCCTTCTCCGCATTCACATCCTCGCCTAGACGCCCTTAACCCCCCCCCTCCTCCACACGACGACCACCATCTTCATCGTTCATCTCCCCTGTCTGCGTGGAAGTGTCGTCGTCGTCGTCTCCTTCATCTGCCCCGTAACTGGACCCGCCCGTGTCATCATGCCATGTGCCCTCACCATCGCCAACTCCTCCAGGCGTCCAACCGGTTGTATCCGACGGCACTTCACCGTTGTCATCGCTGTCGACGTCTATCATGGACGTCGACTGATCGCTCGAAGTGCGTCTGCATGACAAGGGGGAAGGGATGGAACTGCCCCCAAATGTGGGCTGGGTGCTTTGCCCCAACGTCCGCCGACTGCTTTGCCCACACGGAGCCATCCATGGCGGCTCCGCTACGCAGCCATACCCACCATCCATGGCCTGAGATGCAGGGAACACCTGACCGGAAATGCCAAACATCGTTCCGGCGGGCATGGATTGCACACCTGGCGGTGCATACCCGCCAGCAAGCTGCGCGCTGAACGAAGCGTTAGCGCCCTACCCTGCCCCGGCTGGCATCGTCTGTGGTGCAGGGCGCGAAGGCAATCGCGGACGTGCAATCATGGACTGCATGCGCGGCATCGACATCCCGGGTCCCGAAGGTACTCCCATGGCCTGCCCTTGCATTCCCTCGACGGCTCCCCTGTGGAACGGTAGCATACTTGGGGATGGGGATGCAGCATATGCGACACCTGCATGCTGTCTAGGATCTGCCACCTGAAAACCGCCTTCCCCACCGGCATTCGGATCCGCCCTCCACCGCGACGAATCCATCACGACGGAAGACGTGCGAAAGATCCGATCTTCCCCGCACCCCAAAGAGTGACAGGCCCTTGCAACACCTGTTCGCGCAACAATGTCTTGCTACGCACACAGCGTGAACACGGCCAACAATAGTACCACTCCACACAGAATCACCGCCAACAACACCGCTGCAGCCAACGCAAAGAAGAACAACAGCACCACCAAAGACGCATTCACACGATAACACAGCCGGCCGCTGTCATCCACCCCGTTCGTTACGAAGATGTAAAAGGACGGCAGTAGCAGCACTGATGATGATAGACCGTCGACCGGGTTCGAAGATCACGCACTCCCACTTCGCCACTGAACGGCAACGGGCCATGCACATATTCACGTGCATTCACACCGTCCACAATGACTCTCTCCGTCATACCAGAGCGGTTGTGCGAAGATCGACCATGCGGAGGTTGGCTTGAAGTACGAGCAACCCCCGTTGCGATCCCGGACAAGCGTGGAAGGAGCACCCCTCCAGCGAACGACGACGAAGGCCGAACCGCCAGATAGGATTGCGCACTGCACACTCGTGTGGCCAGAAGCCCTTGCCTCCGTGATGGTACTGGACATGCACGCGCCCAACTTCCACCCGTGCCGTGGACATAACGACGACGACAACATCCCACAGCACCCCCTTCAGACAACTGCCTCCAACCACGCACACACGCCTCACGGCTGCTCCTCGCTTCACGAAGAACCGCCGACATTGTTAACGGCCGACTGTGTGTGAAGTCGACGACGGCCGGCCCGCACTACGCATGCCCCAGCACTGCATGGATGGTCGACGTGCGCACACTGCGATTTCGAATTTCCCGCCAACCCGTGCGAAGCGGGCAACAACACCCATGCGGAACGCCCCGCTCCCACAGCCCAACCCATTTCGAATTTTGTGCCCGTTGCAAATTGGGCACACGGGACCGCAAGCCCCCACGCAACGTAACGGTCCCACACCCGAACGGTGCGACGCACCACTGATGTCCGTGGTTTGAAGAGACGGTCCACTCCATCGTGCACCGGACCAGGTCGCCCGTGCCCTGGTACGGCATCTTTGGGGGTGCCCCCCCCCGTCTCAAAAAACTTCGGTTTTGGAAAACAGTCGCCGGACGGTCTGACAGTTTTTTCCAGCCGCCGACCATGTGGAAACGCTTCCAACGGTTTTCCACGACAGTCCGGCACTGGCAGTGGGGTCCCGAATTCGCATTCGCGCACCTTCCTGGCGGTCCAGTGGGGTCCCGTAAACATGGAAATGGAAAATGACTTCCACGCCGCCGGCCAGTGGGGTCCAAGCCTTAGGGCGTCGCTCCACTACTCTCTACATGCATAAAAGACAAAATTCATGGCGGTGTATCTTTCCATGTTCTAGCGGAAGATTCACTCTCGTTTTGCACATTTAGAGCGCAGTGGAGCCAGGCGGTTAGTCTACTATAACAGTTACTGCAAACTATCTTCTTTGGCAGCCGTTTTTTTCTTTTTCTTTTTTTCTTTTTTTTTTGAATGCAAACCACCATGAGGGGTTGCTACTTTCAAGTTCCGAGGGTGATATTAGGAGCATCCCCTGCAAGTACCTTCTTTTTGTGTTTTTAAGTGTTCGCTCATTGGTGGTTCAGCCACACAAAATCTTCAATTACTTCAGGTGTGCGGGGTTTGCGCATATGATTGTGGTCCAGTTTGCTGTTTTAGTGCTTCTTTTCCTCTCTTTTTTTTTTTTTTTTTTTTGTTTGGGAAAAAAACTCTCACCTTCTAGCTGGGGGCGCCTCTCGCTCAGAACCGGGTTACCCCCTCTGTCCTTCTCCCCTCAACTACGTCACTCCGCCGTCCCCGCTCTGCGGTTATGTAAAGGCGTCGAACAGTTTCCTGAATTGTTGGAAC